GAACACTGTACTGTTCATTCTGTGAGTAGCCTCAAGTTCAAAAGACTGGCTCTCAAAGCCTTCCTGTGGAAGTAGATTGTGAGGTACCATGAACCTAGGCCACTGGAAACTTGCCAGACAGCTAGGTTTTAAAATCACTGTGAAGTCTACAATTAAAGGGAAGCAGGGAGGCTCACCAGGGAATTCCCTGACAGCATATATTGAAGGCATGCTGGCTTGAGGCTTGTTTGTCTTGCATGTTTTGATGTGGTCTGTGGAGGACTGAATGGATTAAGGGAATTCCTGATGGGAGGCCCTATGCTGATGGGCTGCTGAGGGTCAAGCAATAATGTACAGTACAGTGGCTGTCCAACTTACCTCTGTAGGGATCAGCAGTGCAGCCTTGGTATGTCCTTGTATGTGCCTTAATAAGCCCTCAGAGTAGTTCTACAGACAGCCTATGGTTCAGGGGACCCAAGCAGAACAGAAACTTATATATATAGGCTGCTCTCTTGTTGATAAAATGAATTTAACCTTAGCTATAAGAAGAAATATTAACCGTGATTTGACGGAAAACTCATTTAGTCATTTAAATAATTTACTCATTTAAATAATTATGCCTTCATGAAACTAAAAGGACGGTAAGAATGAAAGATTATAGGACCATCAAGATGGCTCAGCATGTAAGGGTACTTGCCAGCAGGCCTCATGACCCGAGTTGAATCCCTGGGACCCTCATGGTGGAGGAAGAGAACTGAGTCCTACAGCATTGCCCCCTGATTCCACATGTGTACTGTAGCACATACACACACTTACACAGACATTCCTAATTAATATAAAATTTAAGATGTGGCTGACAAGATGGCTCAGCAAGTAAAGCTGCTTGCTGTCAAGGCTGCCAACCATGTTCAGTCCTAAGAACTCACATAATGGAAAGAAAGAACCAATTCCTGAAAGTTGACCTCTGCCCCGACACACACACACACACACACACTTATTCACACCATGTAAAATATATAAATGTAATGGGAAAAAAGGATAAAAGACTATAATAAAACCATATTGCCTGCTGTCATTAAGCCCTCAGGCTAGGCAACTGGCATAGGTGAATGCAGTGAGCTGAGCACGAGACAACAGGGAGAGTATGGTTCAGAACTTTGAAGGACATGGCATGCCTCTCTGAGAGTCTCCCATTGCCTTTGGGTCTGAGGTCAATAGAGCTAAGTCTAAGCTGCCAAGCAGCATGTCTGCAGGGTTTCTGTGAGACTGTCTCACTGAGGTGAGCACCTTGAGCTCACAGCTTCGTAGAGACTGACACAGCACCAGCTTGTGTTCTGTTATTTTCAGGTCAGAACATCTCACCATAAAAAGACTTGTTCTGATGAGTGTGCCTCTGTTCTGACTGGACCACAGGGTGCTACCAGGAAGCCTGGAATCAGGGTTGGTCTAAGTCCAGTTCTAGGTCTGCCATGTACTCAACTGTGGCATTTTCACAGAGATATTTAACTGCTTTGAGCCTCAGGTCATTCCTCTGGGTGTTTGTTGCTGTTTTAACTCAACATTTTACTGACTTTATTACATTTCAGTCAGTAAGATGGCTGTATCTTTGATAAAATCTGTTTTTATCATTTTGTTTTAATGCCAAAAGGAGCTTCCTGTGTGGCTCTTGTTTGTTTGTTTGTTTGTTTGTTTGTTTGTTTTTGAGACAGGGTTTTTCTGTGTAACAGAGCTTTGTAGACCAGGCTGGCCTCAAACTCACAGAGATCCATCTGCCTCAGCCTCCCAGGTAACTGGGATTAAAGGTGTGTGTCACCACATCCAGCTTTTTTTTTTTTTTTTTTAAGTTTTACATTTATTCATTTATGAGGGACATGCTACAGTGTCGCTGTGGAGGTCAGAAGACAGCTTGCAGGAGTCAGCTTTCTTTCTACCATGTGGGGCCCAAGGGATCACTTGGCACTGAGCAATCTTGCTGGCCTATGTGTGACTATTTTAAGAGTTAGAGAGAAAGGGTTTTACTTATCTGACTCATAGAAATTAACCATTTTTTTCCACTTCTCTCATGAACGAGAAGCCAGCAGATGACCTAGTACAAGTCATTCAGAGTTTTTCTAGATATCATTGAAACATGAATGAGTAATGCTTTGCTGTAAATTTAATGCCAGTGACATAGGATCATGAAGATAAGCTGTTCAGCCAGGCATGGTAGCACATGCCGTTAATCCCAGCATCTAGGAGGCAGAGGCAGGCGAATATCTAAGTTCAAGGCCATCCTAGTCTACAGAGTGTGTTTCCAGGACAGCCAGGGCTACACAGAGAAACCCTGTCTCAGAAAACCATAGAGAGTGAGAGAGAGAAGCTACTCATAGCCAGTCAGTCTGCAGAGATGATTTTAAGGGCCAGGCTCACTGCTGGCCCCACTACTGAGAAAAACAAAATGCTCTTAAAGAGAAGAAATAGTGCATGTGATCCAAACCCCAAAACTTTCCTCCTGGGATTGCCTTGGGGCAGCTGCTTGAGCGCTGCTCAGATTTTGACAGCAAAATGTGGGTGCAAGAAACTGAACTCAGGTCCACTACAGGAGCAGCCAGTGCGCCTAACCATTGCACCATCTCTCCAGTCCCCTCTGTTTTGTTTTGTTCTTTAAACCTTCAAGATTGCAAGTACAACATCCACCATTTAGTGGATGAAATTATCCATCTTAACCCTCAATTCAAGCTGCACATGGTGGCTCTTGCCTTTAATCCCAGCATGGACAGATGGATCTATATAAGTTTGAGGACATCTTGGTCTACATATACTGAGTTCCAGGCCAGCCAGCATAAGACCCTGTCTCAAAAAACAAAACAAAATAAAGAACTAAAGTTTGACACATGCTAAATCATAGTAGAAGATTAACCAGAAAACTTTTGAAAACTGCCAATAGCCAGGTGGTGATAGCATGTGTCTTTAATCCCAGCATCTGGGAGACAGAGGCAGGAGGATCTCTGTGAGATTGAGGCCAGCCTGTTCTACAGAGCAAGTTAAAGGACAGCCAAAGCTACACAAACCCTGCCTTGAGAGAGAGAGAGAAAAAAATAAAAACAAAGATGGAAGGAAGGAAGGAAGGAAGGGAGGGAGGAAGGAAGGAAGGAAGGAAGGAAGGAAGGAAGGAAGGAAGGAAGGAAGGAAGGAGAGAGAGAAAGGATGGTGCCAATAAGCATATAAAAATTGAGTTCTCCAAGTGGTACCCTTCCCAGCAGTTTTAGCTGTGGCCCGAACAGGCGTGGAGCAGGAATGGTGGTGCACTGGGGAGGCTGAGACAAGAGGACTAAGAAACAGAAAAGGAACAAATCTGTTGGATGCCAGCATCAGGTGAAACAGATAGCTGGGAGCCGACAGGCACATTCACCACAGCAGCCTAAAGCCGGGAACTTTGTAGCCAGCTGGCTAGCTTTCTGAAATGAGAATCAGCTCCAGGAAATACTGCTGTTGACGAATCACAGTGAGGGTTGCACTCTTTTGATTATGCATGGTATACAAGGCTCACCAAACATATCTTTTTATCTATTCACAGTTCTTGTGTATATGGGCTTGGTTTGTTTTTTCAGTAAGAATGATGACAGTGTAAAACATATTTAGTGGTACTGGGACAGACAGGACACTTACTTTGTTTTATTCTCTAAAGCTCTTTAAGTTGGGGAGCACAAAAGAAAAGAAGGGGATAAATATTTTGGTTTTCTTTACCAGAACACTTAATAGCGTGAAGGAGAGCAGCTTTTAATTTATGTTTCATTATAACACATGAAATGTATTAGTTGCATTTTGATTGCTTCTGAAACACTAAAGCCTGATGGAGGAGCTTTGATCATTCACTTAAGGGAATGAATATTGCTAGCTTTGTGTATCTTGGTTGTTTTTTTTTTTTTTTTTTTTTTAGATTTTTTTTTAAGCTTCAACTTAATTTTTATATTTAAAAATGCTCTGCTTGGTGATTCGTGAATGCAGCTGGCATGTTGAAGTGGGAGCTGTTGGATTACACTATGCCTTTCTGTCCTACCAGAGAGTAGTGATAATGAGTATAGTCGTAGACGGGAACCCCTACAGCAAGGTGATGTACAGGGAACACTGCAAACACTTAGACAAGCAGAGTGAAAAGCCAGCTTGTTTAAAGTCAAGAGAAAAGGCCAAGACTTTGACCTCCTTGCATTGTAGCTGCTTGTCCCATTTCAGATAAGCTTCCTTGACTCTATAAATAATAAGAACATGGTGTGCATGCTTAGCATGTATAAACAGTAACAACAGAAAAATGGAAGAGTATCATATAGCTGATATTGTGGCAGATTAAAAGGCAAAGCTAAACTATTTAAGAAAAAGGGCGTGGGGGCAGGAGGGATGGCTCAGCAATTAAGAGCACTGGCTGTTCTTGCAGAGGACCGGATTTGATTCCCAGCACCCACATGGCAGATCACAACTGGCTGTAGCTCCAGCCCCAGGGGGTCCAATGTCTCTTCTGGGCTTTATGAGCACTACACAAACATGTTGTATAAACACACTTGCATACAAAATACCCATACACATAAAATGATCATCTAAAAAAATGTAAAAGTACAACAATGTTGAAATACAAGAACAGAAAATGCTTTTTTTCTTTTCTTTTTTATGTATGAGTGCTCTATCTGCATGTACTCCTGCATGCCAGAAGAGGGCATCAAATCATACTATAGATGGTTATGAGCCACCATGTGGTTGCTGGGAATTGAACCTTTGGAAGAGCAATAAGTGTTCTTAACCTCTGAGCCATCTCTCCAGCCCCAACAACTGCTGTCTTTAATCGTCACAAAATTGTCTTGGGGTTTTAAGGAATTAATACTTAATGTAGACTTTGTCAGTTGATGGCTTAGGCATTATTTTATGTCTTGACTGACATGCTCTTTCTGCTTTCCGCACTTCCTCCCTCTCTTCCTCCTCCCCTCCCACTCCCTCGTCATTCTTTCTCAACTCCCTTCCCACTTCCCTTCTGCCTCCCTTTCTCCATACAGCTCCTCAGAGGAATTTTGAAATTGCTTTCAAGATGTTTGACTTGAATGGAGATGGAGAAGTAGACATGGAGGAGTTCGAGCAGGCAAGTTGTACTGACTCCCTTTCTTAGTATTTATTAGCCAGCTGCAAGTGAGCCATGAGTGCAGGCCCTATTGAGAGCTTTGGCAACCACAGACTTGCCTAAGAAAGCTCACTTGCCTATGGCAGCCATTCTTGCTAGTCCCCAAAATGAACCTTTCTCAAAGATTGAACAAATATCTTGCATTTTCGTATTTTGTACCAACTTTGTACATCATAAATCATTCTAATATGTTTAGATGTCAATAATTTGCATATAGGGCTGCAGAGATGGCTCAGTGGTTAAGCAGAGCACTTAATGTTCTTCCAGAAGACCTGAATTCAATTCCTAGCACCCCTGTGGTGGCTCATCGTGTCTGTAACTCCAGTCCTAGGGGATCCAAGGCTGTCTTCTGTCCTTTCTGGGCACCAGTCAGACATGAACTGCAGAGTCATAAAAGCAGGCAAAATACCCATACGTAGAAAGTAGTTTAAAACAGAATTTTTGTACAGCTATGCTACCTCTTGCCACATCTAGAGAGTAGATTGAGAAGTGTGGAGTGTTCAAACCTACTGAGATGCAGACAGTGTGGCTGTGAGGATGATTGCCCTGCTTGTAGGAGAGGTTTTACACCATTCTTCCCACACACCCCCAATCCCAAAAGATTCTCTTTTTCTGAAGACAAGTTCTCCAGGGGGCTGCCAGTCACAAAAGCACCAGGCTTCCACAGTCAGAATCCTAGTTCTCCCCCTTCTGCCACTAGTCAACTGTTTGTGCCTCAGTCTCTTTATCTATAAAATGGGGATAATAAGATATAGCTCCTAAGATTGTTATGTTGTACAGTGTACATACAGAGTCTGCAGGGGCAGCCTTCTGAGGGGTTCACTGTCACAAGTCTAAAGGTGGGGATATGGTTCTGTTTTAGGTTCAGAGCATCATTCGCTCACAAACGAGCATGGGCATGCGTCACAGAGATCGTCCCACTACTGGGAACACCCTCAAGTCTGGCTTGTGTTCAGCCCTCACAACCTACTTTTTTGGAGCTGATCTCAAAGGAAAACTGACCATCAAAAACTTCCTGGAATTTCAGCGTAAACTTCAGCATGACGTTCTGAAGCTGGAGGTAGGTGTTTACCTGGAGTAGATGGCCAAGCCCCCATGTGCACTGGTGGAGGGCTCAGAGGCCTGTCCTCTAGGCTTCCTTGCAGTCTTTCTCCAGCCATGAGAACTAATGGGTCTGTAATCCAGGAGCAGATGGGAAATGACACATTCTGCAGAAATTGGCTTGGAGTGGTACAATTCTAGGACTGAAACAAAAATGAAAAGATTGTAAATCTTAGTTGTCTTTGGATCCAAAAAAATTTGGGAGTGAGAGCAGTCCTAGCCTTCAACATGTTTCCTAGTTTTAGGCACCAGAATAGAGAGAGAAGGGATAATAAATAATTCTTTCTGTGAAAGTTTGCAAAGATGCTAACAGCTGGAGGCACAGAATATCAAAATGAAAATCTCTGTGCTCAGAGTTGCAGAGGCGTCTCACTGTACTTGGAGATTTACAAGTTCACTTTTCCACTCAGAATGTTAAGAGTCATACTGAGGCTTCAAACACGCCACCATAGGAGTGTTAAATGTTTTCACAGTGTGTCTTAACCAAGTAGGCTCGGGGGTTTTGGCTAATTATTCTATTCAGAGAATTCGTCTAACACCTATGCTTTTTGTCTAGAGATAAAAACGTCCTAATTTTCAGAGATTTTAAAAAATTCCTCTACAACCTCCTCTTTCCAACATGAGCCCTACTTTAATGTTATTTAATATTTCAGAACATTAGATAATGTCATTAAAGGCACATAAGGGGAAAAAGGTACTGCTTCTTTTAAAGTCTGTGTGTTTCTTCTCTGCACTCTGGTTTTCTCCTGTTATTCTGCTTTTCCATCCCTACCTGACTGAGTTACGACAGTTTGGTAAACCACAGCCTAGTTCCAGTTATCTGCAAGAATGTGCTTTAATGCACATGATCTAGGGGGAAATAGAAGGATATGTAAATGTTAAATGAAGCTTTAAAATTTGCTTTTGTTTAATTTTAAGTGATCGAAGGAACATTTACTCCTGGCCACGCTGCACATCTATAATCCTTGCACTGCACTGCCAAAGAGCAACCACACGTTAGGAGAGGCAGCTGAGTGTTAGATTTCAGGGTTCCTCTCCACTGCATACAGGGAAGATAGCACTCTATTAAAAACTGAAAAGAGTTTAGCAATAATTGAAGCAATTATATAGCCAGTTCTCATTTAACCCGAAAATTAGTCATAATGCCTCAGTTTTTAAATTTTTATATTATAAAATGTATTTTTATTCTATAGCTTTATATTCTATATAAAGCTTATGGGAGTCAGTTTTTTCTTTGTGCAATGTATGCCCCAGGGCTCGAACTTGGGTCATCAGGCTTCGTAGCCAGCACCTTTATCTTTTGAGTCATATCTCTAGTCCATAATATTCTAGTTAGGTGTCATTTTGCTTTCAAAAATTTTTTTTGAGACAAGATCTCACTGTGTAATTCTGACTGATCTGGAACTCACTGTGTAGCCCAGGCTAGCCTCAGTCACAAAGATCCACCTGCCTCTACTTCCCAGTGCTTCCATTAAAGGTGTGTGTCACCATGCCTGCCGACATTTTGCTTTCTTTAGTTGTACATGGTCATACATAGAGGACTGTGTTCAGAAAAACCTAAGGACTCTGGTTTTTGCCACTTAGCTTCACAGTAAACTTGCAGACAGTTTAAAATGGAACTTCTCAGAATAGAGAAAATTAGTCAGTTAAGCCTTAGGAGTCTAGAACTTTATGTGTAAATGCTCATGTCCAGACAACCCAAGCATCTCTTATCCTCGTGTTTGGCAACAATTTTTTTTTAACTTTTAATTTAGTTTTCTTTTGGGATTTTTGAATATTTATATATGTATAAAAAGATATCATAGGGTAGAAATTTACATTGAACTGTGTATTTTTATGTCTAAATATATATGTGCTTGAATATATATTAAAGATACTACAACTATATATGTATATGCCTGTGTGTATGTATATAGTTGTATATATGTACATAATGCATCATTCTGTGTCTCTATGAAATTTATATTCTAACTGGACTATTTCAGTCCAACAATTTTTGTAAATGAGTTTATATATTCTAGACTTTACATCCTATATCTAGATCCCTGGAATGCATACCAGACTTGTTTACAAACATCATTACATCTGGGAATGTAAATAGTTTAATTTCTTGCCTTTATAATTATAATTTAACACAGACTATAGGTCCATCAAACACAGTTACAGGCTAAAACTCAAAGTACCATGGTACTTTAAGCAAAGTTGAAAGAACAATACAGAGTCAAGGCAGAGGGCTATGACCACAGTCTACCTGAACACTCCTAGAAACATGAGTGGGAGTCTGATGAGACATCACAGGACTCGGGGCTGTTGTCCTGGGGCTCAGTAGAGCTGGAAGTCTACTGATGTGATGTCAGTTAGCAGTGGGTGGGTAAAACACACAAAAAAGATGCAAGATTTCATACATGTGTTCCTGTATAAAGACATGGTGGATATACTATGACACTTATTTTCAAGAACTCTATTGTGTTTGATACTGATTTAAGATTATTTGTAGGCTTTGGGTCAGGAAATGCCAAGACAGTTTTTATTTTCTAGTTAGAAGTTTCTCATCTGAGAGAGCCAATAGATGACTTTTTTTTATTGGGGGTGGGGAGTCCCAGCCTAAGATTTAGTAAATGTTGTATGAACAGTTACTCACCCTGAATCCATTCTCTCCATGTAATAACAGAGCTCAGTAACTAAAGCCTTTGTATTCATAGTTCTTGGTTTCAAACTTTCATCCATCAGTTCTGTGTCTTCCCAACTACATATATCTCCCTTTGAGGAAGTGTTACTAGCAGACAGATCTTTGGCTTTGGCACTAATGAGGCAATGAATTAGTAATTCTCCTGGAGCCTGGCTACCCATTCATAAAATGGTTAAATGAGTCATTGTTTTGTCATGTCCCTCCAAAAGTCATTTGCTGTAGTTTCTTACAGCTGGAATTTGAGGTGTCTCTGTGGTTTAATGTTTGGGCTGCTGATCCCCAGCTATGGCACTCTTGTGAGCACTGTTGGAGCCCCTGGAGCCTGCCTGGCAGGCGTAGGTTCCCAGGACCAAGCCTTTGGAGGTTACCCCCACCTCTGGTTCCACCCTAACTGTCTCTGCTTCCTGGCCTGACCATGTGAGTGGACCTCACCTCATGCTTCTGTTGACACTAGTGGTAGCTGACACTGGCTCCCCCAACTGTGCTTCCCCATGATGGGTGGAAATGTCTCTGAAACCATGGACCAAAAGCTGTTCTCTCTCATGTTTTTTCTGTCAAGTTATTTAGCCACCGTGATGTGAAAGCAACACCAATGTCTCAGAACATGCTGTATTCAGATAGGGCTGGAACTAGTGACTATGTTCAAAACAAGGCCATTAGATGTAGTCCAGAGCCATCTAACTTGCACCTTTAAGAGATAAGAAAGTATAGATACACCAAGAGACACCAGAGCACATATGCACAGAGAGGCTACAATGGATGGAGAAGAACTCTGGGCAGCCACCTGCAAACTGAATAGAGTGCCCCACTTAAACCAGAACTGTGAGAAAATGAGTTTCTGCTATTTATGGAATGGAATCTTGTCAAGGCAGCCCTGTTGCACTAGTGCAGGGCTATATGCTTGACAGCACCTTTAGTGTCTTTGCCATGGTGTCTCCTGTTTTGTTTTGTTCTGTTGGCACACTTCTTTTGCCAGTGCCTGTGTACAAGCCATCCCAGCTGTAAGACCAAAAGGCTTTTTTTGGTTTTGAAATCATTTTCTGAGAAGATATCTGGAAATGGCAGCAAATTTTGTTTTTATGAAACACTTTTATTTCACTTTTTCAAGTTTGGGTGATTTCTCCCTTCACTAAGCATGAAATAAAATCTCATCATCACTGTTAAGAGGCAAGTGGAAATTATTAATAAATCATTTAAAGCCCTTTGGTGTGGGCTTTATAATTTCATCATTCTTCCTGTCTCTTACTAGTTTATTTCATGGCTTATCTCCTTTAAAACTTGAGATCAAGGAGATTTATGATTCCATTTAGCTGGTCTTTTCTGCCTTTTTCTCAGAACAGCAGTTTTGGGAATAAGGGAAGTTTTATCCATCACTCTGCCTTTCCGGAAAGGTGAGGGAAGGGGAGTTGAGCATTATCTGAGTGTCTGCTCTAGTCAAGGCACTTTACATGTATTAACTTTTTTTTTTTTTTGAGACAGGCTCTCTTGGCTAATGTTGAACTCCCAGAGATGAGCATGCTGCTGTCTCCTGAGTGCTGGGATTAAAACCATGCACCACTATGCCCAGCTGACCCTTTTTTCATTTTCATCAACTCTACCAGAGGCAACAGCTATACCCATATAATAGCTGTAGAAATTGAAGTTCAAAGGAGCGAAAGTCACAGGTGCTTTGTGATAGGGTAGAGGTCCAAGCCAGGTATGGTCCACGCTTACTTTTTGCTCATTACTTGACTGGGTTGTTTGTTTTTTCTTTTAGCCTAGGCTAAGGTTTTTATGGGACAGAACAGTTTGGATTTTAGGAGCTGAAAGATCGAAGGTCTATCATTTGTCTTCTCCAGCAGTCCATTTCCCGACTTCTTTGCTACCCAGGGTGCCACTCTAAGGACCAAGAAGAAATGCCCTGTTGTCTACTGTTTGTAAGCTGTTACCGAAGCTAGTTATGTTGTCATGAGAATAATTAGCCTGTTCAACTCTCTACTGTCTGCACACTCATAAATTCTGCCAGCATTTGTTTCATTCTGCCCACCTCTCTCTATTTGAGAACAATAGCAACAAGAACATGGTTTTATAGATGTAATGGAAGAATACAAAGTTACTTCTCTGAAACTTTTATATGTTAAGAATTCCATCTAAGGGGGTTGGGAATTTAGCTCAGTAGAAGAGTACTTGCCTAGCAAGCACAAGGCCCTGGGTTCAGTCCTCAGCTCTGGAAATAATAATAATAATAATAATAATAATAATAATAATAATAATAATAATAAT